CCATTACATCGAAACAAACGCCTCCTACTCCATAGTAATCTACAGAGTGAAGAACAAACTGACGAAGACAATGGGACTTCGTTTTCCATGTATTGCGGAAGCATCAGCTATTCACATGGAAAATCCAGAGTTATGCACACAAGAGGAAATTGCCCAATCACTCCTACTAGCACAGTCACAAACCTCTTGTGTCCTATTGACCTGGGGTTTCGTGTGCTTGTCATTCTGACTCCCTGTCACTCTCGTATTTCTATAGAACTCACACACAACCCTATATTCTGCTTTGTTTCCATGTGCATCCTGGTCACAAGTTACCTAATAAATCGTCCACCTCAATGAGCAGCTCAGACACAGTTATTCAAATTCCTTGGTGCATTCACAACCCACAACTACTACCTTTCAATCCATCATGTCACAATTTCATTACTCATCACACGTTTGAAGCGTTTGATGGCATTAACAATAAGCGTGACTAGTGTTCACTCTTGTTTCTCTGACAAACCTGATGTAAGCACACACGCGCCCAGCAATAATTAGATAGAATGCGACTGTACAGCTGAGTGAATGAAGTCGCCAGAGAAAAGAAGATCTTCACAGAATCACGTGTCCCTAATTTTCAACAAATATTTAATGTCGCTTATTCATAAAATTTTGCTGGTTTTGCCTATTCCGCCTCTAGTTTTAAGGGATTCAGCTAACTGAATTTCTTCTATTTCAGATTATTATGATATCCTTTAATTCCTAAAGGAACATAGGGCTTCCGCTGCGCGTCTCCATTCCCTTCTGTTTTTGGTCGTCTTTTTCACTTTGCTGCAAGTTTGCCCACATGCTTTCATCTCCTCTTTAAATGACCTCCTCCATTTCATTTTTGACGACCAACTCGCTGCTTCCGTTTTGGGTTCCACTCGAGCGATGGCCTATCTAGTGATGTCACTTGATGGTTTCCTCAGTGTCTGGCCTATCCATCACCATTTCTTCCTGCTTATTTGTTTCACAGTCGGTTCCTGCTAAGGTGGTTCGCTCATTTCCAGAGATCCTTGTTGCTCATCTTTTCTGCCAGGACATCTGATCTTGAGTACTGTGCGAAGACAACTGTTCAGGGAGGTCTGAATTTTGTTGGAGATGCTCTTTATGACTCGCCAAGTCTCTGATCCGTAAATTAGCACTGATTTCACATTGGAATTGAAAATCCGGATTTTATTTTTGATGCTGAGTGATGTTGACCTCCACACAGACTTAAGGGTAATGAAAACCTGTCTTGCTTTCCCGATTCTGGCTTTGATATCCTCATCATTCTTGTCCACCTGTAGTTGAAACGATGCTTCCCAGGTAGGTAGGGGAAGGAGGTTGTTTCTTTCAGGCTCCTTCTATATATGCTGGCTGATTGTTGTCTGTCGTTGTTGCTGCTGATGGTATTGGCCAGGAATCCCCATTATCACTGTTTTCTCAATGTTCACCAGAATTCCTATCTTCTCTGGATGTTTCTTCTGCCAACTTGTTGCTTTGCACTCGCCTATCTTCTAGTTTGTGGGAAATCAGGCATATATCATAGTCGAAGTTCAGAACCTCCAAGATTTTTGTGTGAGTCCATTTTATGCCTGTTTCCTCATTGCCTGTTGTCTGTCGCATTATCCAATCTACTGCAATCACGAAGATCATTGACGATAGTAGACAGCCCTGCATCACTCCCGTCCTCACTCCAAAGGCTTCCGTAAGTTTCCCGTTGTAGATTACTTGTCATACAGCATTGTCGTATAACTGTTGAACGAGATGTATAATCGTCGATGGGACAACGTGGTAGCGAATTAGTTGCCGAATCGCCTCTCGATCGACGCTGTCGAAGGCCTTTTCAAAGTCGATGAAGTTGAGAGAGTGATGTGACTGCGATTCCAAGCTTTGCTCAATGATGATCCGTAGTGTATCGATTTGATCAATACATGACTTGTTTCTCCTGAATCCAGCTTGTTTCGGTCGGAGTTTTGCATCCAGGTTGGCTTGTTTGATTCTTTCCAGGATGATGCGGCTTAGTATTTTGCTTGGGACGGACAGAAGCATAATTCCACGCCAGGTTTTGCATTGACTTAAATCTCCTTTCTCTGGTAGTTTGAATCAGTATCCTTTCTTCCAATCCTCAGGTACTTTGCTCTTTTTCCACACCTCCTCCAGTAGTGGCGTCATCGACTCCACTGTTGTCTCTGGGTCCATTTTCAATGCTTCTGCTGGGGTTCCATCTGGTCTTGCTGCTTTTCCAGCTTTTAGCATCTTGATTGCATTCAGGACTTCGGATTTTGTCGGGGGTCGATATTCACTGGTGGTTCTGCTTCCGTTGTTGGTATTGTTGGGCGCGTTGTAGGTGGTGGACGATTTAGAAGTCTTTTGAAGTGTTCAATCCAGTGTTTTCTTTGCTCTACCTCTTTGGTGATTGACTTTCCATTGTCATCCTTGACTGGCTCAGTCTGTGTCGAACTTTTTCCCGAAAGGGTACTAGTTGTTTGGTAGAGTGTGACAAGGTCCCCTTTGCTTGCAGCTTGTTCTGCTTCACTTGCCATGGTTTCTTAATGTTTTCTTTTGTCTTCCCTGGCACTCTTCTTCACTCATTTGTTCAGCGTATTGTAGCTTGCATTCAACTCCTGTTTTTGTTGCTCATCGGTGCACTGGAAAATCTTTTGTTTCACTATCCTTCTCTCTTCCATTAGTTTCTAAGTGCCCGCAGTGAGCCACTGTTTGTCCTGTCTCTTCTTTCTGCCTAGAACTTCCATGCAGGTTTGGCTCCACACCGTTTTCAAGTTGTTCCAGTGCTTTTCGACGCTGACCTCTTCGCTGGTGTTGATTTGTGTCTCGGCTTTTTCCCTGATGCTTGCAATGAAGATGTCCTTTGTAGCCTGTTCCTTCAGCTTTTGAGTGTTGAACTTGGCTTGTGATCTGTCTGCAGCTCCTCCTTCTCTGAAAGCTTATAACTTGACTAAGTTTGTCCGTTGTACGAGATAGTGATCTGAGCCAACGTCTGCTCCTCTTCTTACTTTTCTGTCCAGTAGGCTGCTCCTCCACTTCCTTGAGCACCATTGAGATGAAGTCGATTTGGTTTTTGGTTTGCACGTCTGGTGACACCCATGTAGCCTTTTGAATATCTTTGTGTTTGTATACACTGCCACCAATCACTAATTCGTTGAAGGTGCAGAAGTCGGCGAAGAGTTCTCCATTTTCATTCATTTCTCCGAGAGCTTCTCCGCCCATGATGAATTCCCTTCCTGTGTTGTCTGGTCCCAGTTTGGCGTTTATGTCTCCCATTAGTATTTTCATGTTACCAGCTGGCATATTGTCCATTGTTGCCTGTAGTTGTCTGTAGAATTCTTCTTTCTTTTCGAGGTCTGCGTTGTTTGTGGGTGCATAACACTGTATGATTAACACTTTCCTTCCTTTGGAGTTGAATCTGGCGGTCATTGTCCTGGACGAGTTCGCCTCCCATTGCATCAAGGCCTTTGTTGCCGTTGGTGACATTATGATAGCCACGCCCTCGGTGTGCGTGTGGTTATCTTCTGGGTGACCGGAGTATTTCACTGGCTCACCTGTTGATAATTTGGTGAGTCCATTCCCATTCCACCTGCTTTCACATATTCTCAGCACTTGTATTCCGTATATTTTCATCTCGTTTGCGATCTGGGCAGCTTTCCCAGTCTCGTACATAGTGCGGACGTACCATGTCCCCACACAGACTTTTTCTTTTGGTGCAAAGAGGTTCATCATGCCGAAGTTTCTGTAACGATTTTGTTTACAGGGTGGGGTTGCTAGCCTCACGCCTGAGAAGGAATGGTTTCATTAAGATAAAGTTTAGAGAGAATCGACCCTTTGGGATGCTTCCCAATCAGAACTACACCAGCAAAAGGAAAATAATTCACTGCAAAAAGAACATAAAGCGACAACAACAATGCAATTCAGCAACATGCAATACAGTTGAGCACAGTTAAAAATGATATAATGATATGATATCAAAACGATAGACTCATATATGCTTACCAACTGATAAATTCCTCAGGAGAAATTGGTATTCTGTGTAAGGAATTGTTGTGCGTTATAAACCAGAACGTACATAATGAAATATATTGAAAACAATTTCGCAAATTATCGTCAGAATATATAAACCTATCCAGCTACAAATATGTGAATGCATGCAGTTTCACTGCAATTGTCTCAGCTATTTATGTGCGATTATTATTCCGTTTTAGCAAACCGTCTGCGCATTCAGTCACAGATCAAACTAAGTGCAGGAATATATCCATAATAATAATATATCAACAGCTACATATAATGTTGTCTTGTTTGTTTGATATTTTATTATGTCATGCGCGCACCTACTTCTGGCGGTCACAGGAGGTGAGTGTTTGTTCCCTTTCAAACCACACATTTGTGAGCCTGCACTATTGTTGTTAATGTGTGACTCGATTCTCCCATTATCATTCTTCCTCACTATCACTCATGTGTCATCTACACATCTCCATCAAGATTTTGTTGATGATGTAATTAGTGATTCAGGTGCGTTTCGTTACTTAAAATCCATGAATATGTCAGCGATCATCGACGAGTTTGGTGATCCAATAGTGATCGCTCCACTGTTTTGCATGTGAACCCACCATATTTCGTCGATTGACGTCAAAGCTGTCTCCATCACCTTTTTACTGAAAGTGTGCTGAAACAATGTTTCTACTTCAGTTTTCTGTTGGAAACGTCATGTGTTTCCGATTATTCCGAGAACGCCATTCCAAAATCGTCATGAATAACACTGGTGACTCTGGCATATGAGCATCAGATGGTGTACAAATTCACTGTGTTTCCAGATTCAGCTGTGATTGGAATTTGTTTACTCCTCTGACTGAGTTATCGCTTAGAATTTCTCAAACGTATATCTCGTTGATCGAAAGTATTTGCAAACTTGTTATATCAGTTTCATCAGGCTCATTTCTATCACATAGCTGCACAATATTCAAAATGGTGTATACGCTTACTTTCGTAATCGCCGTTGATTTTCATCCAGCTATCTGTAAAGAAGTAAGAATGTGGGATCATTACTAGCAGAAATACATGCGGTCGCATATCTTTAGTCACAGAGTAAGCAATAATGTTATGACGTGTAGGTTTCAAACGCGTTCAATGTGTGCAATCAAGTATATCTGTGTATTTGATTCGCAAGTCGCTCACGCTGCAACGACGCGTTTGTGTGAGGACTATCTGAATACAGTTGTCTCTGCGTTCCTCAGCACCCAGATATTGCGATTTTAACTGAAATCAGCGTCTGAGCAGTACGCATGGAAGTGTATATCCAAGGCTATCTGACATATCACATAACAAGCGTTGTCTAACATGATCAAATCATTGTGAATGATTCCATATGTATATGGAAGTGTTACGTGTCTTCATCTTCCGTCTTTTCTGACGCGTGAATCAATCTCCTAGAGGTGCAGTTTGAGTATCTTTGTGGATTTGGCGCATCCACTCTGCCTTTCCCAGTGGTGAGAATGAGTAATTCTCATACCCGAATTCAGATTCATCACGAACGAAAACCAACTATGTGATTCAAATTATCTTAGCTACTCGATTACTTCTTTCTCCGAGCATACAACTGTTTTCAAGCACGTTTGAATCGGGTCGTGAACTGACATCGAGCATTTCTCGAGGAATCCGGAGGAAATGCATCATTTCGGATTAGTGTATACTCCAAATGGAAGAGGGATACATGAGAGGAAAGTAAAGTGAAATCCAACACGCCGTGTGCTATTTGCACCACGCAAGGCTTTTCTCCGGGGGGCAGTTGCTATCGTTATTATTTGGATCATCATCAGGATCTCACATTCTTCCATCGTGCTTCTCAAGTCATTATTGATCTCTTCCACCAGTAGCGGACTCTGAGAATAGGCAGGTGAATATAACTTGAAGTTGATAGCAGATCGTCATGAACATTTACAGGGAGTGTGACAGTTGAGAAAAAGCTTATTCGTTAGGCAGAAGGGAGTGCAGGTCAACTTACAAGTCGGTTGTTGTCTTGAATACGGCTTTTCTATAGTTTGCAAAATTCAATCATTAACACACAAATATACTTACATGTACAGAAATAAATCGTGAGTAATAAGTGGTGAGATATATTAACGGTAGAGACTTGATTCATCGATGTGAAAATTCCTACAACATAGAAAAGAGGATTTTCAAGGAATCGGTGAAATCACATCACCACTGACATCAACGAAACATTCTGTACTCTCTGTTTGTGACGAATTTTGACGCATCATCAGATGAACTTTCCCCCAGATGACAAGGATGTCAATATTTTGAGCAGACGGCTGTCATTCATTCGGTTAGGTGGTGTGAGGAGATATGCTTAGCGTCCTGCTTAGCACGCAAGTGTGTTCCAGGTCTAGACTTAGCGAAAACACGCAACTGTCAGTGTTCAACAAAGGAAGCAGCTCTGGGACATCTCTTTCAGCCTCCATTTGCTGGTTTATTTCGGGAGATCTCCTGAATTGGCTTCATTCAAAACGCTTCAATGTCTGCAGTTTTCAGTTTGATACTCTAAGGTTAGGATTGCTAATGCCGATCAACGAAAGTAATAAAATATTCAGAGTCTGACGTTTTCATATCTTTTTGGTTCATGTGTGTAATCTTTTTAGGAGTATGCATGTTTGTCAACATACGCTGGACATCAGTCATCAGTATTATGAATCTTTGTTATTACGAACAAAACATTTTCAACCATGGTTTAATGTCAAATTCAGTGAGGCTTGTAGAGCCGATTTAAATTTCTTAATTCATAGACAACTCAAAATATTGATTCACTGTTGTCCAATTCATCAGATTTGGACCATTTCAACGAGTGATTTTGATTGAAAGAGGCTGATGCATTATTTCCGAAACACAAAAATTGAAAACTACTTTTAATCTAAGCCCTAAATAATACATGATGGTGTGGGATTGCATTTTCACAGTGTACACATCATCGAGGTGTGTGGCTGCGGCTGGCACATTTGACACATCACACACACATGGATATTGGCGAAAGCGCTCCAGTCTTGTGTAGAAAACCGCCATCTCCTGCAAATTTTCAGAATTTTCCGCACACCACACTTTCAGCATTGAGCATCTTATTTATCATAACTGGGAATACGCACTTGACATGTCAGACCACTTTTTCTTTCCTAACTTCCTCCGACGCCCTGAAATAAACAACAACTACAATTATTGTCTTGTTTTTTTTAAACATTTACATCAAAATATTGATAAGAATCTTGCAGGGTGGCCGGCTAACCATCACAATGGTATCTCTACTGTTCAGGGTCATCTAATGCTTCAAATTGCTTTATTATCTAATTGATGTTAGTTGGCAATCAAACCTAAGAATCAATCAAATACCTGCAAACTCACACTCCATAATATAGTATGTGTCAAGGCCTTTCTTTGTAAGCTTTACCCTAACCCACGTGTTCCATTTTATTTGAATATTTGATATTGCTTTCAGTGTTTTACCTTCCATCGAGTTTATTGATTATTATGCAACGTGAAGATGCTATCAATACTCCGTGCCATAATATAACATGCTTTACTTCGATTGCTTGAATGCAAAGAAGGCCTGGATCATATTTGTTTCTCGCGAAGAATTGATTGACGGGATATATGTGGTGAAGATCCGTATCTTGTTCCTCATGCTGAGTAGTTCTAGGCGATTTTAGAGCTGATTTCTTTGTAATGAAACTTTGCCTTGCTCTTCCTATCCTGATATTCACATCTGCATCCGTTCCGTGTAACTGCAGTTGTAGTGGTGCCTCCTATATAAGCGAAGAAGATGATCTCTGTCACAATTCACCCGTCGATGGTGATTTGTGCTTGATTTTCAGGTTAAAGTCCATCTTAATTGCCTCCCCCACCGCTGGTTGGTTTCATGTCGCCTGTAAGTCAGGGAATTTGTGTTTGCCTTCAAGTTTCTGATGATATAATGTTCCTCATTTCTCAGAGCACACATGGTTGAGGCTTGCAGTGATGACTGGCATGAATGATGTGAAATGGGACTTCTCAAGTACACGGATCACCGTAAAAACTCTCCTCTCTAGTGAACAAAACTGCCTCATTGTTGCGGCTTTTCATAAAAAATGAAAACATCACAATGAACGTATCATGGATCAGATGTGAAATGAGAGGTAATGCACACCTGATATTTTAGTATGTTTCTTCTTTGCCATCTTCCATGGACGACCTGAAATATGCAGCACACGATGTTATGATCTGATTTCTTCTGAAATATACGTTAGATAAATGTACAAATAGTAATCTTACAAAGTGGATGGCTGTTCATCACAGTGGAATCTGTACCATTCAGTCTGTTTTATTCTTCATATTACTTCAGCATTACAGCAATCGCCTGCAACTACATCACCAATGGTTAAGGACTATGCTAACATCCTTCGGAATATGGATGCAATAGTTCAATATCGGTACTGCATTTCTTGCCTGACAGTCCACTAATAACTAACTGATAGCATGCGCATAAATAGGATGTGATGAAGTCTCAGTTGCATTTCATGTTAGATGATTGAAATTATAGTTTTATGATGTGGCATTTTGCAAAGAAGTGAGCAGACTATTACAAAAACGATTGTGAACAAACCTGATTCTTTGTTTGATTTACTCATACTCGTGTTTAGCACAATTTCACCACCTGAAATTTTAAAATGACACCAGTTAGTAGATCAAATGGATAGAACTTGTGACAAAAAAGCAATGTCTGCATTTCAAGAATCATGAAGTTTCTAGATTCGTCTCCTGTCTTACTAGGTGGCTTGTCATCATGGAGCACTTTGAACTATCATTAGATGGTTGAAAGCAATCAGCATGAGGTCCTCACAGACTTATATTTTTTAGGCTTTTTCACCGCCATTCTTCATTCAGTAGGATGTACTTTAAATCTTGTAGAAGGTTATTTTCCTCTTGAGAATCGAATCCAGGTAATCCACAGCTGCGATCAGAGATGATTCTACTTAACTACCCGAACCTACGTTTAACCTACTGTAGAACTGCGCAATGAGTACTTTGACTGAACACTAAATGTTGGCTTATGTCAAACGTATGGTCCATCATTTAATGTGTAGCAAAGGCTATTTTTAAAGGCTACTGATCCAAAAGTGAGAATAAAACACTTTACGTATCCACGTAACATAAGTTGAACAAAACACGTTGTACAGCAATCCGTTTCTTTCCGGCAAATTCATCCACATTAATTTTGCATTCTTATTTATGGACAAGACTGTTCATATGGGATTCTACAGTTAGAAAAGATGAATATTCATCGGTCGTAGTCACGCATATTCACCGATACGTAAGTGCACCTCGATTATAGAGTATTCGGGTTAGGCAATAAAATGAATAAACTTGTTGAGTGACTTGTGGTCAAGATGCATAAGTAAATGAACGAGAATATTAAGTTGTGTAAGAGTCGAACAGAAACACAAATGTCATAAGGAATTGAAAAAAACAGTCACACAAATCACAAGTCAGTAGAAATCAACACGTCTCTTTCAATGATAGTAGGAGCGATTTCCTCCTGTATGTCTAATTTTGGCTGTTCTGTGTAAATAGCTCAGTTTTGATGTGGTTTTGTTCTCTGAGTTGGATAGTTAGTTTGCGAAGCTTTCATCACCTTACTGGGTGACATCTCCAGAGCATACTTCAAATTGAAGTATGCGCTGGAGATGTCACCCAGTAAGGTGATGAAAGCTTCGCAAACTAACTATCCAACTCAGAGAACAAAACCACATCAAAATTATCCACCTGAGCTACAAATCTTCTCTATCATATCTAAATAGCTGAGTCTTCAACAGTACGAAGAAGACAAAAATGTTTTTGAAACTTCTCGAAGGAATACGCATTGATAAATCATGGTATCAACCATGCTGACTTCTAGCTCCTTTGAACTCTTGTTTTTCTTTATACACCTTGGATAATGCAATATTTTGCTTCATTGCCATGTATACCCTGTGTACATCTCATTCATCAAAGTTTTCATCTAATTTTTTTCCTTGACGTTCCCCAGTGGAACACAGGGCTTCAAGCTAGTGGCTTGAAGTTTCTGTAGCAGTGTTTATTTTACAGTATGAGATTGCTAGCCCCATGCCCAATCTTTCCTGTTTACCAGCATTAATTCTGGCCCAGCGTGGTAAAGGAGGAGTGTGTCGGCTGGAGATCGAACCCCAGACCGTGTGTATGGTCGGCGAGTATGCTTACCACTATGCCACCGACGCACATTCATCTTATTAAGTAAATCGAATACAATCATTCGACTCCGCTTATGCATGGACCAACAATAACAACGATGATTACATCAGCATGTCTATGTCATCAGCGACATGTCATGTCGACAGCAGTGTTTTTTTAAACGAGGAAAGAACACTCCTGCAGCAAACGGGGGTACAGCTGTTACTACTGTTAAAACATAAACAAGCTTCTTCGTCAAAATGTAATCCGTATGAATTTAGTGTGTTTAAGTTGACGACAGAAGACCTATATAATGTGTATCTACACATATATTTACGTGTTTACTACGCACATAATTTTCTATAGAATTCGTTTCTATTCGCAACAAATTGTTCTCAGTACGTTAATAAACGCTGTCGACTTACAGTTGCACTGTGTATCCCAGCTCAAATGTATGAACTTACTTGAATACTCTGGTCTCCCGTTAGCCAACTGAACATCATAGACTGTTAAAAAAAGAATGGATTCAATGACATGACAAAACAACAAGAAGAGCACAGAAGACCTAGTGATATCTTCAAACTAAATCAAATATATATTCACATATCCGTTTGCTGATTTAACAACAGAATTTGACCATCGTGAAATTGTGCACTTTTTGAAATCCAACAACTTCCTCAGAATGAAGGACATCAAAACAATTTTGATCAGCTGCTTTCAGCAACTCCCTATCTTGAAAAATTATTTCCACAACTATTGGTCCAGATATGGATAATTCATTTGGCAATTAAATCTCTACATTTTCTTAAGTGAGAGCTACTTATGAGTTGATTTCCCCTCTAGCTAATTGTTTTGACTGGGTTAAGTGATACTTGTTATATGTATGTTGTCAAACATTTGTATCTAACTAAAAATTACATATTTCTTTGCTGAATCATACTGTGGTGGATATGTATTCTGAAACGTTTGACTTTGTCATACAAAATTCGCTAAAATCTTATGTGAGTAGATGACAACACTAGTATAAAATCTAAACAGCTTTGTGCTTCATTTATAGCAACCAGAATGTCTGGAAAATGACATTGTTTTGTTTTAGTATAAGTCTCACACAAACTTCTTACCGAGGGGATCAAAATCTGAAGTAAAATGGGAATCATTGATACAGGTATAAAACTTGGCCACATTGACAGAGCATAACTCGATTATAGATAAGATTTTATTTCAATACATCACGTGGTGTCCTGTAACATCACTAGTTAATAAAACTGTGCAGCACTGTGTGATTTATCAAAACAAAGTTTTATCCATAATGGAGGTAAAATGGAAATCAAACACTAGTAAAAATATTATGGACTGTCAGGCGAAATAATAATAACCCTTATTCTTAGAAGATTTGACAATAAAACCATTGAGTTGTAAATTTAAGTCATGTTCTATAACTTCGTTTCGTTGAACGCAGGTGAAACACACCACATACCATATTGAAAAGTAGCGTTACATACAGTTTGAGCAGGTTATTGCAGATGAAATCATCACACGTTCATGTGTGGCTAAATGCATCTGTACTTGGAGTTAATTCAGTCTACGACTATATATATATATATGTACCTCTGAGTGACTATGTTCCGGTGGTCAGCTAAAAACTAGGGCAGTCGAAAACGTCTATTATTATGTTGCATATAATTCCTCTTGTTCACTTCGTTTCAATCAATTAAAGCACGATCACTGATTGTGTTTTCTACTCAAGTGAGTATTTATAAAACTACTACAACCTGCTGGAGTGCCGATTCCTACAAAACTTGAGAAAAAGCATTATTGTGGATGCTAACTGACCTCAAGAAACGAGATTACTGTTCCACAAATTCTAATTACAAAACTGGCAAGGTCCTAGAGAAATAAACACTAGTTATGTGCAGTCTTCAGTTGTTCAGTTATGTCTGCGGGTATCAATTAGTACTCCTGAACAATATTTTTAAATCTGCATGTTTAGAAGGAGACAAGCAATTATGATTGGTTCAGTATTGTAACAGAGTGAGATTTCTTCATTTCTGTGCCATAATTCATCAGATGTTCGAAGAAGGGGAATAGTGAAGGAAACTAGCGACGATGTCATGAATATAAGTGGTGAAATGTTTAGGTTTTCTATGTCATTCTTTAATTTAACTAACCCCAAAGCTTTTCTCAACACTTTGACATCAATTACACATTTTCAGAGAATTTAACCATTAGAAGATAATCATTTTTAGACATTTAATTAATACCAAAATTTTCATTGTAATAAAATAAACAGTATTTATAATAAAGTTAAAAACTTGTGAATACTCAGTATAGATATTTACTCACCTCCAACATGGATTACGACGAACAGGAACAAACAAAGAAAGCAGTAGATCTTCATACTGAATATGTTGTAGGTAGTGTAGTTCACAGGCTTTTATACTAGAACAGATGTCGTCGTAAAAGGAATCATAAATAGCCAAGTTATTCTGCTCTGACTATTGGTTGAGTGATTTCATATCGTGCTACTGATTGGTTAGAGATTCAGACGATGATTTGATGATTTTCGTTTTCGCATAGTCGATTGCACTTTATTCTCTGGAAGGAAAACACACCACACATGACAGTCAGCGCTAATTTTGTACTTCACATTCAGAGATTTGAAAACATGAAAAAGAATCTTATGCACTCATACAACTCAAACTGTCTTCCAACAAACCCGAAAAAAGTTGGAAGTATCATGCTGAACCTTTGATTTCCCACCGAGACAGACAGGGATAGATTTGATGCCAGAGTAACTGCTGAACAGATCCAAATTGCTGCTCAAGGATATCGCTGCCAAATCTCAAAAATAGAAGAGCTAATAGGCTAGCCATCCTTTGAAAGCATCTTTAAAATTCTCATGATAAACTGTACTTCTCTTTCCCACTTCGAAATGAAACATGAACCTAGCATATGCAGGACAAAATGGAGCACTAGGCCACATCTCCATACCTATCACATTTCATCTGCTTCCGTGGAGCTGATTTGAATAACTGCGACGTACATCTACTTGCACGATACACTCTGGAATGTTACTCAACATCGATAGCAAAAGAAGAATATAAGTGGGTCTGTAGCACTCCTATATCAGTTCAAATACACACTTACGAAACTGATTCATACACTCATATTATACATTCACAGAAACCGATTCTTCTTATTCTTGTGAGGTAGTCGCCACTGTGTTATTGAACGTTACTATTCTTTGTTACATATAAGTTTTGTTTGGTTATAAACCTATTCGTTCTCCGCGCACTTACTAAAGTTCGAATTCGTCAAAAATACATCCTTCATGTTTTCATTTATGCTTCCTAATACAACGTTGTCCATTATTGTCAGTGATAGGCGTCAGCAAGTCGTAGAACCTGGAGACGTGAATGTGCTGGAATATTATAATCGGAGTCATATCTAGTATGCAATAAGTCGTCAGTTCGATATCTCGTGAAATTAGGAAATCTGCAATAATTTTAAAAATTCCTCAAATTTTCATACAAGACACTATCAAAAGGCTGATGAAGATTTCAGGGCATAAATGGGGCAT